CCATATTATATGTACATTATTTTTATTCAGGGCTTTGAAACTTCTATATTGATCTCATAGATCAGATCTTCCCCCTACTAACTCCTTGTCTATTCACATGTCTCAACATGTGACTGGCAATACAATCAGGTGACACTGGAACCACACATTTGTCTCTCACTAAGTGTGAACCGGAACTGACTCTCTTGATACCAAACCTGACTATTAATATAGACCAACAGCCCTGGGAATATTCAATGATCAGCTTGTTGTCGCTTGGTCTCCAAAGACCCTTCATTCACTCTTTTACTTCTCTTTTGGTCAAAGTGGGTGCCACTTGGAAGACCGGACCTCAAAAAGAGCCATCTGCTGGCTGTAAAACCGAAGTGCTTAAGGACGAGATAAAATCACATCATCATCTGTGTAGGTGTCCATAGTGTCCTGGGTATGATGATAAACTACATCTGACAGCAAGGTTTCAGATAATGTGATACAAAACTTTGAATAATAGTATGAATCAATAAATGCATAATTCAAATCTGTGATCTCTCGTTAGGATATAGTCCTGGATATGATGATGAACTACATCTGGCAGCAAGACTTCTGATTTAGTTGTTTTGAGGAGCATGTAACCACTTCTTAATTGCTGTTGTTCCCTGGTCTACCCTGACCCTGGGTGGTAGCATCTGCTAGGGTCCCAGCTATGGGCAAATAGTGACACCAACCTCAAACAAAAACTAAACACTATGGAAGTATAAAGATGCATTTTACGAGCAAAATGACCAGCAATACATTTTATAGTAGAAATACCAACAATACATTTTATAGCAAAATGACCAACAATACATTTTATCTCTAGTTGAAGGCATACAATTGCACTCAAAATATCTTTAGTTGAAACCATTAAATTGTTCAAAAAATTTAGATTTTGGCATTAAATAATCCATAGAGGTTGATGTATCATGAAATGAAATCGGTCAACCAACATGAAAGAACTTTCATGACATTATTCCATATAAGAGCTTACTATATCATGACTACGAATAGGTCACACTAAAATTACGCGTTCATTCTTACTGAAAGAAGAACCACCACCATGGTGTCCTACATGCCAAACTCAATATACGATAAAACATTTTCTGATTGAATGCATTGATTGTGACTCAAAAAGACACCATTTCTTCAGGGCACACAACCTAAAAGAACTATTATAACATTCCTGAAATCAGTTGAATTATATCTGAAAAGAAAAAAACAAAAAGATTATCCATTTTTCCCTAAATGTAAACAAAAATAAATCTGTTTTAGCATAAATGATTCTAAAGAGTTGATATGCTGTTAAAAATCCACTTAAACTTATCTATAGTCTCTCTCTCTCGCACACACTCTCTCAGATGAGTTATTAAATATCATCTGTATTATGGCACTTTCAAAAAGCAAGTTTACTTTATTGGCCTAGACTTTTCTCTGTGGACTTTCACAATCTGCTCCAACCATTTGTCATTTTGATTCAAAATACAGCAGGCTCAGCTCCAAGTGGTCATCACTCCTGGCAACACCCCTCCCATTGCACTCATGTCAGAAAAGCCTCAAGAGACTTTGCTGCCATTCCCATGTATAACAGGAATTTGCACTTTAAACACGTGTTTATGCCGTATTTTGTTCAAATGAGGTGGGAGTGCTGATAAATCTCAACTTTTATAATCTGCCTGATGAACTTATACTACTAGGATTCTACATATTATAAAAATAATTATGGGGTAGAGAAGAGACTTCTTTTAAATATTGGTTTTTATTTACCATTCCCAAAGAACAAACTTAGTCTGGCCCAATGCCATAGCAGGGAACATCCATCAGTCAGTCAGTTATGTGCCATGCGTGATACACACTTAGGTGATCATGTATCTTTCGATACATGACTGATGAGGCAGATTTTTTTCTCTCAGTAGGTTACCATTTCTTTCTGCAGTAGACCAGTTGCCATCCAAGGCTATAGAACCCGGTCTGCTCTGCTATTTACTCATAGCTGGAGGGAGAGAAAAGGAGGATTCATACCTTTCCCGAGGGTATTAGCAAGTGAATATAATGGACCTGACTGGAATTCGAACTTGGCTCTCTGATTCCTCAATCCAGGCTGCTATCCATTACTCCACCATGCCTTCTCTCCTCTATTTCACTTACTACATTAATAGACAACTTTGCTATGCAAGAATTTAGACCATAAAGAATTAGTCTCCGGTGAAAAGATAAACAACAGAAGTCATATAAAAGAAAATAGTCATCAAAGAAATAATAACCGTCAATTATTTTATGAAGGCATTACTTTTCATTTTAATTAGAACCTGACATGTAAAAGTAACTGTAATAAATTTATTTCTTTATGAAGGTCATTGGTTCACCTGAGATAAATGTTTTTTTATGACTTAATTGTGGTCAAAAGGCAGTGGCACAGATGGGATGTTTGCCAAACTGGAGATGGGTGTCATTGCCCATCATTATATGGATAATTGAATGACAAAATGGGGAGAAAAAAAAATCTAATGTCTTTCATCTTTATAAGGAAAATTTTCAAATTAATAATGATTTTTATAATTCTATCTATCTAATATATATATATATATATATATATATATATATATATAGAGAGAGAAACCTTGAATTAGCATTTTCAGAACCAATGGGTTCCAGATTTAACTTTAAAACTTTTCAAACTTTTAATTAAAGCTATATAGTAACTTAAAAATAAAATACACAAGCATATATATTACATTTATTTACAATAATTTTGTCCTGTGCTGGATGTTTTTTAGACAACAATAAAAAGTGCTTCAAATTAATGGATGAAAGATTTTATATATATATATATATATATATATATATATATATATATATATATATATACACACACACAGTCATCTATAGACTTTCGCTGTATCACAGCTCATTAATGTGGCTAGACCTCTGATTGCTTCAAGCCAAGACTGAAACCTGACCGATTTGGCATCTGGCAGAGAGGCAAATTTTTGTGTATTTATTTTTTCATAAACACAACAGTGACCTAGAAAACTCAATCTGTTGATAGAGTCTTGCATTATTAGCAGTAATAGTCACTGTTTACAAATTCACACTTTCTTCCCACAGTGCTCAACCAAATTAATTTTTTTTTGGGGGGGGGGGACTATATATATATATATATATATATATATATATATATATATATATTGGCCACAAATCCTTGTTGAGACATGTTATTAAATATGATGGGCATTTTTCTTTTGATAATTTTTTATTTTATTCTTTTTTTTTTTTTAATTCTTTCTATTTACTGTGTGATAATTTGTGTGTCACAAAATAGCATTAAATTCCAGCATTAACACACTAAACATCTTTTAATAACTGACACAATCAATTACTAATACTTGACCAGCACCCCAGCAGTAATAAACCTATTTGGAAACAACAGTTTTTGCAACCAATCAAATAAAAGCAGGCAATTTAACACAGAAAAAGTAAAGAAATCCTCCCTCTCATGATGACTGAAAGTGCTTGGAAACTGAATTCAATGTTCTTTCACCAACTGGACTCTGACACAGGAAAGTTATACGACAAATGGAAAGAATACACAAAAAGAAAAATTTACATGGTGTGTAAAATATATATATATATATATATATATATGAATTTAGCCAGAGTTTTCAAGAACACAGTTTTTAATAAATGTTATTTTTTTTCCGCATTGTGTAGTTTAAGTTTATGAAACCATATTTGATGTGATATTTTAAAGTAAAATTGAAGAAAAAGTAAAAAATGAAAGGTATTTCAAATGTTTTAATAAAAGAAGCAAAGATTTACATCACAAAAAACAAAAGATAACGATTAAAAATTCAACTGCTTAGGTTACTGTTATTTTCTGAAAAATTGTGACAGTTATCTTCATTTTGCCATGGTAATACAGCGAAGTGGATAACGGCTCCGGATGAGAAACTGGAGAACTGAGTTCAAATTCCATTCCAGTTCATTACATTCACTTGTGGGCAAATACCCTTGGGAAAGGTATGAATCCAGCTCTTCTCTCCCCAGCTGTGGGTTGAATAGCAGGACAAATTGGCACTATTTACACTATTTGGGCTATTGTCCTTATCTTTGTTGCCATATTTATCACAATGTTTTGGCCGTTGTATGGTCTGGCTTTTTTCAGGTGGACCAACCACCTGAAGAAGGCCAGAGCATACAATGGCTGAAACGTGATAAATATGGCAACAAAGATGAGGACAATAGTCTGAATAATGTAAATAGTGTACATAATACCTCATCTCAGAAATATAGCCAGATACTGAAGGACAAATTGGGTCCCATTGCCTTAGTTGGGAACCTACTGCAGGAAAAGCTTCTGCCTAATCAAGCATGAATCAAAAGAAACCTGATCACCCAAGCATGTGTCATGTCTGGCATTTAATTGATTGACTGAATCCTTGCTTCAAATGTTCCCCCATCACACAACCCATACAAAAATAAATTCCTTCTTAGTGAAAGTGGAATTGATGAGCTGAATTCAATCTTTAGACAAGTTTGCTGCATTTACTTTTGCATGAATACACTTAAAAAGGCCTGATTACTTCCTCCACCTCCAAACTCCATGTGTACTTGGTTGAAGGATAACTCAAGATGCAAGTGGTTACTGACTGAGAGAATATCAGAAAAAACACTATTAAGGAGAGAGAATAATAAAAGAACCGGAATTAAGACGACAAGATAACGATAGACATTGCATGAACCATTATAGTATCACCTGGTATGGTAGTGTTTTTGAATTCTATGTTCTACACAATGTTGTACAGGTTCAAGAGATCCTTTTTTTTTTCCTTTTTTCTTTAGATTCTAATTTTGAACTCAGAAGGTAATAAATGTATTATATGTGAAATAAGTATTTTGAAAACTATTTCCTCCTCTTTGCTTTTTGTAAATATTAATATTTTTTTTATCCCTTTTCTGAACTTCCCCGCCCTTTTTATTGTTTGTAGAAGCTGCTGATGAAGCATCTCGGACAACTGCAGCTCAGTATGAAAGTGTATGGCAAAGGATGATGAAAGTAAATGAGAAATCCGAACAAGAGCTTCAAGATCTGAGGAAACAGTTAACTCAGGAGAG